TCTGGAAGAAATAGCTTTTTCATTTTAATAGTTTAGAAATAACTCTAAATCTTATTAAAGAAAGGCTAATTTCCATCTGACTTATTAAAGGATATAAGTGCCACGGAGTAGGTTCTAACTCATAACAACCCTACAAAGGGTTTCCAAGGAGTGGTTAGTGGGTTTCAAAGACCAACCTTATGGTTAGCAGTCCAGTGCTTATCCTACAGCACCACACCAGGACTCCATATATATGTGTGTGAGTGTGTGTGTATATGATATATATGAGTTCCAACTCACACACACATGCACTTTTATATAATAAAACAAAGGGAACTGTGTCCCCAAATGGCCATTACCAGTGGAGGCGTTTTGATTGGCTGGTTGGTTGGTTGGTTGGTTATGTGCCATAGAGTCAGTTCAGACTCATAGTGGACCTATATAGGGTTTCCAGGCTGTAAATCTTTACAGGAGCTGAAAGCCTCATCTTTCTCTTGCGGAGCAGCTGGTAGCTTTGAACAGCTGACCTTGAAGTTAGCAGCTCAACTCGTAACCACTATGCTACTAGAGCTCCTTGGAGGCATTTTAACAACTGTCAAATTCAGCCGTAATCTGGCAATGCACAGAGAGCAATGCTCTCCTAGGCATTCACTTCTCTCCAGTACGGCACTTAACTTACAGCAGTGTCATTGCCTGTTTGCTTATTTATCTTTCCCACTGGATGGAGTGCTTAAGGATACAAAGGGTATCTTATTTATTTTTTTTAATCCTCAGCACCTAAAATAATATGCAGACAATAAAACACTCACAGAGTGAATGAATTGAGTAAATTAATGTATTAAGGAAAAATGAAAGTATTCACACATCCATATTTTCACAACCTAAAAAATGATGGAAATATTATGGAAGGAGGATGAGAGTTTGTTTTTTGGTGTTTTTTGTTTTTTCATTAGACAGATATTCTAGAAAGGCCTATAACTTAATCATGTTCACAAAGCAACTGACACACAAGAGACTCTACAATGACGTCAAAACAGAATCATGTCTTCACCAACAATGAATAAAACCAAGCTCTCCATCCCAATTTTCCTGTATATCTTACTTACATCTTGGTCTTACTCTCTTGAACTAAATACACTGTTGTAAAAAACAACTATAACTGACCATTTAAAGCTAACAATTTATGTGTTTATTTAAACGTTGTAATGCAGCACTATAGTTATTACCAAATATATGCTATGGTTTAAAAAAACAAGAGCTGCTTAAAAATAACAGCAAACATCATCGACACAAAATGTACTACTAGCTGTCCCCATATTTTGGATTCCAATTTACAGGCAACTCCTATATGCCCTTTAAATTTGTGACCTCTTAGAAAACATTGAACCAACCCCAACTCACAACAAATTTTCATCACAATCATTTTCACTTGCTGCTCATGTAGCTTTTAAATCATTGGAAACCTGATGAGCCTTCATTTGCACTTAAAAAAAGAGCCAAACCTACTGCCACCCAGTCGATTCCAACTCATAGGAACCCTGTATATATTGCCAATCGTTGCAAGATCAGAAGGCAACACTAAATAAGAACTGTGCACACCTGGTTTCAACTTACCTACAAAGTCTTAGAGACACAGGAGCAAATCTCGTTCATACTCAGGGACTGCCTATACAGTGAAAATTACACTATGATATTAACAGTTTCCAATTGGTTTCCAAGAGTCTGAAGCAGTAATGTGAATTTCTTTCAGTAAGACTATAGATTAATTTTTTCCAAGGAAATATTTTTAATAGGATTACTGAGCCTTTTAGCACTCTTGGAAAGAAAATGAATCCCACAAGCCTTCTGGTGTAGGATTATTACAATCAATCAATGGAAATGGCAATGGACTTGAGAAGCTAACCTTACTCATGAAATGTACAAAGTTTGCCTGGTAATAACCACTTTAGATGGACTCCTGGTGCGGCACTATAGGATAAGCACTGGACTGCAAACCACAAGGTCGACAATTCAAACCCGCCAGCTGCTCTTCTTAAACCCTACTACAAAGTAGCTATGAGATGCACTGACTAAACGGCACTTAACAACAGCCACCACTTTAGCAGAGAAAAAGATTCCACTGCATCAGCAAAGCAACCTAACACACTGAGACAAATGAAGGGCCAAAAGGAAGGGGGGAATGAAACCGCCTTCAACCGTGACTAATTCTGCTGGCTATCACCCTAAGGTCCTGTGTTCTTTAGAAGGTATTTAAATGTTTGGGGCTGGGGGGAATGTACTCTTACTGATTAAAGCCACATTTTTTGCACTCACAATTCTGTATTTGAAGAGGAATGTGTTCAGTTCATTAGTTAATAATGTGAACTGGTGCCTACAGATATTTTGAAAGAAAAAAAAAAACAAAACCCACTACTGTGTTTGGAGATCCTCTTTATGTGACTTGCATAATCATGCAGTTGGCTCACTTGGCAGCCCCAAAACTGAACTCAAATGAAGTCACATTTGCAACAGGTGCTTTCTCTGTATGCAATGACTGTATTAACAACAGAAAGGACCACATGGAGATTATAAAACAAAATCATACCTCAAGAGTACACTGCCACCCTCTGAGAATTTCCATGTGCTTTTAAGGGTACAAAAATTAAGCCAGTCTTACAAATAATTTAAAACTTTTTTTTTGAATCATCCAAATGCCATGAGTATAACAAAATGGCATTTGTTCGGCTAGTTTGCACCTTGTTTCCACCCCACCCACCCCCATGCCATCCTTACAAAAAAAATTTTTTTTAATTTTTGAACCATCCAAATTTTCTAAATTCTACATTTCTTTTAAGAATAAGCAAAATCACAGCCATAGATTTTGTTTAAGTGGTTTTCATTCAAGCATAAACAAAACCACAGGTATCTATAACATTCCAACTACTTAGCAGATAAAACAAGCAGGTTATAATCACTTTTTCCTATCTTCCTTATAACCACCCTTCTTTTATCTTGGCTCAGGACACATGAATCATGATTTAAAATCATGGAGCTAAATTTGTTAAGAATGTCATGACCTCAGCTATTATAAAAGTCCTTCTTCTCAACCTCAGGTACACATGACAATCATTAGAGAAGCTTTTACAAAATAGGGGTGCCCCAGATTCGGCTATCAATAGGTTCTAAAGGCACCCCAGATGGGTCTGATGTTCAGCTTGGTGTAAAACCAAAGGGCTCAAAATGAAGACCAATGATACAGAGAAGGCTAAGGATGAAAGCAAGCTACCGGGAATCTGCAAAAGAACCTAGAACAAAGACCCTAAAGTCAAATGCCTTCAGGAATCCTCTAAATGCAACAGGCACTGTATGCATACATTCTTGCATTGTGTGAATGCTGGAGAATGAGACAAACTAGCAAACAGGGCTTGGGAGGGTAGGGCATGGAGCATCAGCTGATTCTTACCACAAGGAACTGCAAGAACAGATCACCTTACGTAATCAAGAGAAACCAAAATCTAAGATTTTTATGCAAAAGTTTCCAACGTTTAAATGTGGCCTCAAAATACCAACACGGTGAAAGCCAAACAAAACACACAATAAAACACAAATATGGACTGGACCCTTAGGCCAAATCATCACCTCTGGTCAAAAGGTTGCTTCTATTCTACAGAAATTACAGCAGGATCATACTGATAATGAAAAATACCAAAAATAACATCTAAGGTGCTCTGGTAGCATAGAGGTTACGAATAGGGCTGCTAACCTCAGGGTCAGCAGTTTGAAACTACCAGCTCTTCAGTGGGAGAAAGATGAGGCTTTCTGCTCCCATAAAGATTTACAGCCTCGGAAACCCTATGCAGGGTCACTGTGAGTTGAAACCAATTCCACAGCACATACAACAAATACGTTCATTAAATATTTGATTATGTGTTAGACACTATGCTAAATTTAAAAGGATTAGCTCAACTAACACTGGCAACTTTGTTATTAGTGTTGGAAAGTGCCATCAGAGTTGGTTCTGACTCAGTGACAATGCATACGATTTCCCAGGCTGCAAACCTCTGAGGGAGCAGCAAACCTCATCTTTCTCCTGCCATCAACTTTGGGAAGTACACTATTGTCCTGGAGTCCTGGTGTGGTGCTATTGGTTAATGCGCTAGACTGCAAAGTTGGTTTGAACCACAAGCTTGATGGCTCAAGCTCACCAGGTGCTCCTTGGAAACCGTATACAGGGTCGTTATGGGTTGGAACCAACTTGACAGCACTTAACAACAACTATTATCCTGGTGTGGCTCTGTGGGTTAATGCACTGGACTGCAAAGTCAATTTGAACCTCAGGGTGAGCAGTTCAAGCTCACCAGCTGCTCCTCAGAAATCCTATACAGGGTTGCTATGAGTCAGAACCAATTCGATGGCACTTAACAACAGCAACTAGTATTCCCCACTTTACTCATAAGCACAAAGAGGCTAAATAATCGCCCCTGAGGTCACACGGCCACTTAGTGACAATGCCAGGATCCAAAGATGTGCGGGGCAACTCTATAACCCTAACCACCAGGAAATAGTTCTTCATAAAATTAAATATGCTTTTAATAACCTCTATTTTTTGCACTTAGGTTTCTTTAAAAATAAAATGAAAAGATCAGACTAAGTGATTTTCAGGCCTGGTAGTTTTCATAGTCAATGGCTATCACCCCGTAATACAGCTCTTGGTTTTATCAAAATATGGAAGCGTAGTGGTTACAGATTGGGCTGCTAACCTCAAGGTCAGCAGTTCGAAACTTGCATGGGAGAAAGATGAGGCTTTCTGCTCCCATAAAGATGTACAGCCTCGGGAACCCTGTACAGGGTCCCTATGAGTTGGAACCGACTCCACAGCACATAACTACCACAACATATGCATAGCCGTCATGAATGCCAGGCCAAAGAAATGGAATAATGTTCATTAAATACTCTAAGGTTTTATCTGAAAAGGCAGCAAAAGCAAAAAATGATAATTATTTTTATCTCTCCTCTATAGAGAGTTTACTCCTCCATCTTACCTTTTGAGAGATGAGTAAAAGTGCTCAGAAATTCTTCGTAGGTTTGCTCATGACATTTTACAAACTTATCCAAGACTTCTTCAATTAACCCATCTTCATCCATAACCTCCAATCCTGCTGTTTGGACAGGCATTCCTTTTCCCAAGTACACTCTATCTACGAGAAAAAGGAAAACTCAGGCTAGCGAGAGGCATGTAGTACTCAATCCTCGGAAAACATTCTGGATCAGTGGGTGAAGAATTCCCAGGTCCCAAAAGGACAAATCAAGATGGAGCTACTAGAGTAACAAACGCTAGGCCAATAACCAAGGTTTTAGTCCTCTCTTTATTGCTAACTTGTTAACTATCACAGTTTTATTGTTGTTTCATTCGCCTCACTGTCATCTTCTTAATTCATAGGAATATTGTCACCTATAACTAAAATGTTAGTCATGATGTTGATGATAATGATAATAATGATGCTGGATCATTCTTAGTGTTCTGCCCTTTACCTGTAAACCCTCTGAAGTTGAAGACACTGGTATCACCTCAAGATAAATCAAGGTAATTTCTCATGCATTGCCAACACCGGATAAAATAGGGTGTTGGAGAGGGCTGGGTGAAAATACAAAGTTGTAGCTGGGACCAACTTTCAAAGAAAGACACTGTTTCAAGCTATTTGTACCTGAAAATTAAATATAGCTAGGAAAAAATGAGTCTTTAGCAATGCAAAGCTTAATAAATTATGCTTGCAATTGCTAGATAATAAATCATGATAAACTCAAAGGCTGCTGTTATATCACTAGCAGTAGGAATGTACATAATTATAAGAATGTCTGAGTCAATCTGCTTCTACAGAATTGCGCCCCAGAAAAATTCCAACAATGTATTTTATCAACCTCTTCCTCAAACTGTTCCCGGTAATCTACGTCAGTGAACCCATGCCAAATAGAAGCAGCAGCCTGAGTTTTATACTGCTCACATGTCTCCTCGGGGATACTTTAAGAGCAGTAACAGAAATCACTTTAAACTACATTTTCAATTCTCAAATTGGTATATTCTGAATTCTTGATGTTAAATGCCATCGAGTAGGTTCTGACTCATAGCGACCCTGTCGAGGGTTTCCAAGGAGTGGCTGGTGAGCTTGAACCATCAACCTTGCAGTCTAGCACATTAACCTACAGCACCACATCCTGAATTGCCCTCACCAGAACTAAAGGCAGATATCTGCTCCTCAGTTATCAACTATCTCATATTAACAACAATAGTAAAAAATCTACTACCGGACTATCAGGGGACTTCAAAACCTTCATGGATCCTGGATAGGAAGACTTAACATTGTGAAAATGTCAATACTGCCCAAAGCAATTTACACACATAATGCAATCCCAACCCAGAGTCCAACGACATTCTTCAAAGAGATGGAAAAAACAATTACAAACTTTATACGGAAAGTAAAGAAACACAGGATAAGCAAAGCACTGCTTAAGAAGAAGAATAAGGTTGGAGGCCTGTCACTTCCCGACTTCAAAATTTACT